AACTGCCTCTTTTTTTTTCTTTCAGAATTAGGATTGGCAAAGCAGTTATTTATTTTCTGGTCAATGTTTTGCTTAGATTTCTGGTTTCTCCTGCTTGTTTATTTTGTAACTGAAGCTGAAGACATGGCCCGAGCCTGGTCAAATCTGCCTAATCTGCACTACTTATCTTTCTAGTACTGGTGCATACTTTCCCTGGTCTCATCTGTATTGTAGTACTGTGGACCAGATATATGTATATATGTGCACGCATGGTTGGCACATATGTGCACACATAAAAACATGCATATACATGTGTGCATACTCAAATCCTTTCTGGGCACTAAGCTCTTGGTTAGACACTTTTCAATATACTCACTAACGTAGTGGGTGGATATAGAAGAGCAGTCATTCATTACTTTAAATGCCTTTACTGAGGTTACACAAAACCAAGAAGAAATCTGTTTTATAAATTGTCTTACAACTCTGTGCTTTTCATTAATCTCATAATTTGCTCCACTCCATGTGTAAGGAAACCTACCTTGAGACTTACTGTCTTTTCTTAGTTTTAAATTTGTTTGTTTGTTTTATTTTTAAGGAGGTACCCATTGGCAAGTTAACTTTCCTAAAAAAAACAGGCGCGACAAAAGAGGAATGATTCTGCGTGGAGCGGCCCATTTCAGAGAGTCCGCAGCTGTCCCCGCAAACTCAGTTTACCTGCTAGCTCCTCCTCCAGGGCTCACTTGCTGTCACTGGCCGAAAGCTTCTAGCCGGCTGGGGCGGGAGGCGGACAGAGAACCCGCAGCTGTCCACCCCCGGCTGCCGCGAGGAAGAATTCCAGGAATGCGGCGGAAGCCACCGGCTGCTCCCGGGGCGGGTCAGGTGACCGGCTGCTCGCCCTCGCTGGGCGAGCTACCTCCAAGCACAAAGGCAGCTCCAGTAAGGGAGAGCCGCTGCAGCCCGAGAAGACAGAGCGCCCTGTGTTCGTGGAAATCTACACTTTCCCTTCCGAGATTGGGTGGGGGTGGGGAAGCCACGCAGGAAGCCGGTCTGGTAGGTAGGGCCAGGTTGGAGCAGGTGATGGCATGGCCGCGCCCCAGCGGGAGCAGGAAACTCAGTGAGATACAGAAGTTCAAAACAGGGAGCCTTGTCTGGGTAGAGTCACCGCCTGGAAGAAATGATCTTTCCTCCCTGCCTCTAGATTAATGTCACTGCAAGTTTAAGGATGTGGGAAGCTGCTAGAGGACGGCACAAACTCACTCCGTGGAACCACACACTTAATTTTCCACTGTTTGCAGGGAGGTCCTTCGTGATCGTCTACATCAGGGGTTTTCAACTTTCCTAATGCTGCGACCCTTTAATACAGTTCCTCCTGCTGTGGTGACCCTCCCCCCCCACACACACACACCATAAAGTTATTCTGGTTGCTATTTCATGACTGTAGTTTTTCTACGGTTATGAGTTGTAATGTAAATATCTGGTATGTGATTGTGATCCCTATGAAAGGGTCATTTGACCTGCCCAGGGGTTGAGACCCACATGTTGAGAACCATTGATCTACATGCTTGACTTGTATTTTTAAGAATTGCTACAAGAGTCAGAGAAAAGTTTATCTTGCTTAATCTATTGACACCCCAAAGAGTGTGTGGGGGCGGGAGGGGGCATCTAAGCCCATTTGTTTGTCTGTCTATCTATCTATCTATCTATCTATCTATCTATCTATCTATCTATCTATCTATCTATCTATCTATCTATCTATTAAACAGGGTCTCACTATGTATCCTTGGCTGGCCTAGACCAGACTTCTTATGTACACCAGCTTGGCCTTGTACTCACGGAGTCTGCCTTTGCCTCCTGAGTGCTGGGATTACATGTGTGAGTACTACACCCATCCTCTGAATTGTTTAAACAGCTGGGTGCACATGTAAAACCATGTTTTAAACAATGCACTGTATTCTTTTAATCCACCTGCAGTCGGATCATGAAGGCAGTTCTCCTGCAGGTTAAGTCTTTAGCATGACATCTTCAGCATGACAAAGATGTTGACACTGTCTGGCCTGGAGTGCTCCTCACAAAGGTAGGCCAAGGGCTACAAACAACATTATTCTGACAGAATAATGCCATGAATCAACCCGGACACTTGGCATTCCATCAGATTTTCTCACTGTCCTCACGGGCAAAACTGTCCACGTGAAGAGTTCCTTCATAAAATGGAGACACCCATCATTGCCCCCAAAGTGTATTCTTTCTTAGTAATTTTCCAGCTTACAAAATAACTACTGAGGTCTCCCACTTTGATGGACTGGATAGAGTCCTTTCAACTTTACTTTTCTGACTGCTGGCTTTGAAATCCTTAAATTTTGTTCTGCGCTCTTAAATGTCTTAAGCAGGTAGGGTTTGGAACTTGACGTTCCATAGACACTGTCAAGAGGAGCAGTAGTGAGGGTGTGGGGACCTGGAGACACCCGGTCTTCAGTCTCAGCTGTGCCACTCAGCAGTGGGGACGTGGGCGGTGAATCAGCCTCTTTGAGGCTGTATCTAACACAAGTGGCATCAATCCTGGCCTTTCACGTAGTCTTCTGCTTCTCTGGTACTGGACATGAAACCTAAAGCCTCATGCAGGTCAGGCCAGCACTCTGCCATTGATCTACATCCCCAGCCTTCTTTTTGCTTTTTATTTGGCGACAAGATCTCCCTAAATTGCCTACCTTTGCCTTGAATTCACTCTGTAGCCAGGCTGGTCTTGAACTTGCTATCTTCCTGCCTCAGCACCTGAGTAGGTGGATTAAAACTTTATGCCTCCAGATCTTGGGCATTTTTGTTCTTACAGATAATTTCCTGTTAACACATCATTACATCATATCGTTTAAATCTCGAAACTCTATGGTACTATTAACTAAGTTCAGTTCTTAGCATAAGATACTTCTGGTTTTTGTTGTTGTTTTCTATTTGTGCCATTTATATATTTTGGTTGTACTTTTCCTCAATCATAGGTCTGGATACAGTTCTTGACTGGGTCCCTGTGGATTTGGGGGCAACTCTTATTTCTTGGAGAAGTAGCCTTACTGTGGTCTTTCTTACCTCCACCATGACTTAATAATAACAGTGGTTTTGTTTACAGATCATAGACAGACTAGGGTGAAATGTATTTTAGACTTTTCATGGCTGGGTAACCCAAATACCTGTGTTTTCCATATTAGTATAATATTTACTCTGCTGTTTACCAGGCAGAAGGGAATGCCGTTCCAGAGAACCAGGTACATTCTTGGTGACTTTTCAAGGTGACCTATACTCATTGTTCACTTATAAATACATTAATAATTTACTCTATCACGGGTCTGTAGATTCTGCCGTATAAAAGTTACCACAGGGCTCAGTCCCTCTAATATTGAGAGAGTACCTGTAGAACATAGAAAGCTCTTTAGGGGACGATTTGATAAACATAATTAGCTCAAGAAGCCAATTTCTTCTGAGGAATTCAAGCCTCTACCTTACAGATTAGAATAGGCCTGATTTACTATGTCAGAAAATTCTAGAATAGCAAGGTTTACATTTTGAGCAACATGACTCTGCCTCAAAACATTTTCATTTAATTTACCTGAATTTAAAATGCCTACTGACTAATTTAGGGCCATTTGGATGCTAAGAAACTGAATAAATTTCCCAGATAGAGTTTTCTCTTAAAAGAGGGATTAAAGATTCTTTTGAAGGAACATCTTTTTCACAGTGTGTGAAAAGACTACAGGCGTTCCCATGGGAATCACCGGAATATATTTCAGCTCTCCCCACAGATGGCTATTCTTCCCCGGGCAGCTCTGGGTCCCTTGGCTTGGCATGTTGCTACATTTCACTTGTACCAGAAACTGCCAATGCTAGATTAGCTCAAACAATTCTCAGAGACTCAGACCTCAGGGATTTTGTCAGAATTCCTAACTCCAAATTTGTAGCAAGCTTCTTATAAGAACATACAAATGTAAGTTTGGTCATCTCTTTAGTCAAAAGCTCAAAACATGTCATTTTAAACACAAATTGCAAGTTTTGAACACAAATGGAGAAGAAGTGTTTCCCTTTATGGGCGATGAGAGGCAGCATATCAAATCTAACAAACTTGATAAGCTGAGAATTCAGTGGTCTTTCAGGACGATTTCATAGTTTGCCTACATAAGCTTTTTCACCTGCCACTTTTGACTTGGCAGGTCATATTTTCTCTAGAACAACATGTATCTTGGTTTTCAAAGTCTGAATTCAAATTCTGTTTGGCTAATTTTTTTCAGGAAACATGCCCAAATTCTCAAAACGTGAAGAGCACACAGTGTTGAGCATATGATTGTTTCATTTAAATTCCCAATATTACTGCTGACGAACAATTCAAACGATTTCCTACCTTTACAATCTTTAAAAAATGGATTCCGTGGAGCCCGACTGTTGATCATTATGCTGATTTGAATTTGCATTTGAGAGAACAAAGAAGTGGTTAGAATAGATCATGATTTCTAAGGTACACCCAGCAGCAATGATGAACAGCACCGGTGAGGAAGTGTTCAACCCACTGACTTTGGAGTGATGCTACTTAGCTTTCTGCGAAGGTAATAGCAGGGACAGTTCCTCTGCTCATGGCAAGAGCTTCCTAAGGTGAACGAATGTGTGAAAAGGAGACCACAGTTATGGAGAAAAACAATAAAGTACACACTAGGAGTCTAGCACCATTACCTGGCCCTAGTGGTTTAGAGACGTGTTTTAGTAACCCACAGAAAAGCGGACGTCCATACCCTAAAAACTAAACTGTACACATATGTCGTCACACACACACACACACACACACACACACACACACACACACACACACACACACACACACACAGCTCCTAACTGCATTTCATCTGCATAATCAGCCAGCCCTCGGAAGTTTCTCTGCTCTACTTCCCAGGGCCCCCTCCATTCTCGCCTCCCTGCAGTTTCTGGCCTTTACTCTGCTTGGCTTTTGTTTCTGCCGAACAAAAGGACAGGAAAGAAGACGGGCATACCTCCTAACACAGGACCCTGGCAGGTGCAGGTAACAGAAGGCAAATGCTTGATCCTTAGAGCGCTTCCGCGGGGACCCAGGACCGTGCTCAGAGGCAGCCCCGCGCAGCGCCTGCCTGCCCTGTCCGTGGCTGTTGGCACCTCCCTGTGTGTTGTCAAGCTGGCTCTGCACGAGAGTCCCTCCTGTGGACTCACCGAGCGGGATCAGGCCAATGAGTAACTTTCCTCCGTTTTTCCGAACTTCTGCGTAGATCTAACAATTGGCACCAAGCTCCGCTTATTTCCTTAGTAGATTTACAGCAGCTCCTCCGAGCCAATTGGTAGTGTGAAAGGATTGGATTTGCTACCAAGCAGTAATTTAGGCTCTGTCAATGAGTAACTCACTTTAAAGAATCAAGGAAGTTTTAGGTTAATATCAGATGTGGGGCCTTTATAATGGACTTGAGGGAAAAGGGGTGGGGAGAGACGGGGTCATGGAATGAGATGGTATTTAAGCCAAATATGATAGGAGAAAAACACTATATTGCAAAGAAAATGCGTCTGAAGGTGCAGCCGTCCAATTACACAACTATCAGCATTGCTAGTGAAACACTGATTAATTGGCTGGAGCATCCCTAGCAGTCCCAGGGATTTCTCCAAGGCAACAGGGTTTCTCCTCGTGTCCATTGAAAGTGCTAGCTCGTTTTCTTTACCTTCTAAATATGGAACTTTCTCAGGCCTCATGTGTAGGGGATTCCTTACAAGCTGCCTCATGTCTCCATAGATCTCCCTCTTTTAAGGAGAATGCTCTTCAAAACCTCCACTGCATAAATTAATTGGTGGTACCCAGAGGACTGATAACATGTGGAGAATCTTCTCTCCCCTAACAGGTATGAAAAGGGCTTCCTTCCTGCATTGATCCAAGGTTTTGGCCTACATAGACTATTTCTGAGTCTTTCTGGAGCTTTCCGCCAAATAGGGTGAATGCATGGGAGCAAAGCAGAGGAGGAAAGGGAGGTGTGAGGTACACAGCCAAAAATATTGTTATGTCTTTGGCAATTATCCTGCCACGAATACAAAAGCCACACTCAGTGTGGGTCCCTTTCTCCTGTTTACCACCCTCATTCTAATCAGAATTGCACTCAGTCTTCCTGTTATTCTTTGGGTAGAGTTGATGCCCATACATACACAAGATGGGTTCTTTGATCTTGGTGACTGCATTGCCCTGATCACAGTGACTGATTTACGGAAGGCTTATAGACTCTTCTGAGTCAATCAGAAAACAAATGTAAACCTGTGATCTCAGCGGGAATTATCTTTGTTGCAGGTTTTGATGACAAGAAGATACCAAGTCATACTGCTCTTGTCATATAGTGATTTTGGCTTAGCTTTTCTGCTGGGGAGAAAAATTCTGCCTGACAGTCAACCTGACCTAGGTTTGCAGGTAGACTCTTGAGAGAGCACACCTTAAGCATTAGTAGACAGCCAAGGCCCTTCGCTGACAATCTGTTGGCGAGGAAAGGCTTTGAAAGGAATGCAGTTACTCGGTGTACCTTACATCGGGTTTTAAAATTAGTTTTTCTGAACATCCCACTTCTCTGGTAGTTCCACTCAACCTCCCAGACTAAAATGATAGTGCCTGATGTGAACCCAAATATATCTAATCGTGAGTCTTCCATGCATGCAGTTTTTATCAATTTGTTTGGTTTTACAGAGTTTGCTCTGTCTCTACTTTTTCCTCTACTCTTGCATAACTTGAAAATAAACAAAAACAAAAAACACAAAAACATTATCTCTAAACCATAAAGCAAGAAGAAGATACTTCCTTTACAATGTCCCCCCCCACACACAAAACAGAACAAAACAAAACAAAAAACCCAAAAACAAAACCAACCCAAACCCAACAAAACAAATAAACAAAACCAGGTAAATGCTAAGGTAACCTTAAGCTGGTGAAGTACATATAAGCATCGATAACTCTATATAGCTAAGCTTGGCCTTGAACTCATGAAGATCCTCTAGCCTCAGTAGGATAAGTCAATAGGATTACAGGCATGTGCCACCTTGCCTGGGCTAAATAAACTTGATTTTTGTTTGTTTTTACATTTTGCCAAGTACACCATTTCTGTGTTCAATCTCCCAGCGCAAGTAGAGTACATTGTAGTCACAGAAGTGCAAAAATATTCCAAGACTCCATTTTTAGCTCAGCAAAATTGCATGGGGATCAAACTGTGGCCACCAAGCTTTTTAAGAATTGGGGAATAAGGCTGTGTGGCTAAGGCCTATTTAGTTTGTTTCACTATAATAAGGAGTATTTTCATAAATGTATGATGGCTAATGCTTTGTTGATGCCCATGGGAGGCCTACCCCTTTCTGAACGGAGACAGAGAAGTGGATGGTGGCGGGTAGATAGGAGGCAGGAGGAGGGAGGGGAAACCGTGGTCGGTATGTAAAATAAATGAAAAAATTAATAAATATATGATGGCAAAAGTAATACTGTTTACCACCCAATTGGAGAAGTCTCATTATTCACTCCACATAGTTTCTCTCTGTGTGAAAAGCCTGTTCTACTTACCAGGCAATCAGATGGGAAAGTAGAGGACCACCCTACATTCCTCTCTGTCCTTGCCCCGTCGGCATCCTGAGATAGGGTTTTTCACAAGGTCTCTCTATTTTAGATGCTTAATATTTCTCATGATCTGGGACTGACAGCTCCTAAAGTGACCCTCAGTGACGTTGGCTAGTCTGTGTGCTCTAGAGCAGTAGTGTGGTTTTCCCTCCTTGAGCACGGCAGGGTCTGTGACTTGCTTCTCACACATAGAGCATTACCAGGAGGCTAGAACGTTATTCCTGTGGCTCCCTTCTTATCTAAGACACCATCATGCTGCCAGACCCAGCCTAAATGTTCTCCTTTCTGGTTCAGAGAATTAATTGTCCATGTGGAAAAACACATGGTACTAGGAGCTAGGGGTGGCCTCTAGGAGCTAAGGGTAGTTTCATCAAAAGCTAACAAGAAATCAGGGCCCTCATTCCTATAGACACACAGAAAAGAACTCTTCCGAAACTGCAGGGAACCTGGAAAGAATTCCCAAGCAATGCTTCTAGGTATGAACTCAGCTCAACCAACACACTTGATTATTCTCTTGCAAGATCCTTAGCAGCCACATGGTGCCAAGGATATTTATAAATGCAGACCAATGCACAATAGTAAACTTACCCAAAGCATTTTGTTTTGTGACTTTTTTTTTTTAAAAAAAGGTTTATTTTGAATTAAGAAGTTGTAAATATGTATATATTTCTGTATGTGTATATGTACATACCTGAGGAGGCCATAGAGGGTGTTGGATTCCTAGGAGCTGGAGTTACAGGTCTTTGTAAGCTGCCCATTGTGGGGTCTGGGAACCAAACTTGGGTCCTCTGCAAGAACAGCAAGTGTTCTTAACTGCTGAGCCATTTCTTCATCCCTGCAATTTTCATTTTTTTGTAACTCTAGTACGTGACCCTCAAGCATGAATTTTAGGTGAAAAGTTGTGTTGTGATATCGAAGTGTTAACATGTCTGGGTGCTTCTGAATGATCCTATTAAACCAGAAGTCATAACTGACCTCCTTTGCCTTGGAAAGTCTTTCCATCTCAGAAACAGAGTGGACAACACCTCAGTTGACCTCCATCTTCCATACACGAGTGCCCACATGCCCAAGGTTCCATTCAGTGATGTGAAAACCCATGTCTGCTGTGGCTTCCCCTTCCTCCACACCATCAGCATCCCTTATCCCTTTTGCTTTTGGTAGCTACACTAAAGTTGTATAAATGTCTTTGCTGTTCCAAAGAGGCCTCTGCCCTTGCTGCTGCCTCCGTCTCAGGAGGCTCTCCCTAGAGGTCCATTGGTTTACTCCTGCTTGGGTCTTGAACCTGGACACATGAACCATGAACACAACCTCATGTTTTGACAGCCTGGCTCCCAGCTTGCGGCACTGTTTGGAAGGCTGTGGAGCCTGTAGGAGGTAGTGAGTGGGCCTCTAGCGGAGGGTCTTTGAAGGTTATGCCTACCCTGCTCAGGTTTTCAGCTTCGTTTCTCTGCCTCCTGGTCTATGTCATGTGAATAGTTACCATACACATCGCTCTCATACTCTCTCTCTCCCTTTTCCCCTTCTCTTCCTCCCCCCCCTCTCCCTCTCCACCTCTGTTTTTCTCCCTTCCCCTTCACAGCTCCTTCTGAAATGTACACCGTGGTTAATATTGGTGCTTGCTGTGAGGTTGTTTCCTACAACCCATGGAAAAGAGCCGGGTGAGATGGTGCACGGTTGTAATCACAGACCTAGGGATGTCCAGATTGGTAGAACCCCACCCATGCTGACTGGCCAGGCAACCTGGCATAAACAGTGAGTCCCAGGACAAATAAGAGACAGTGTCTCAAAAATTAGACAACACTTGAGATTGACCTCTGACCTACACACACACACACACACACACACACACAAACACAAACTTTAGAAGGCAGAGATTATATCTTTCAGTTGCTCCATGGAGTTTTGGATGGTGTCTGACACACGGTGTGAATCTAAGTTGTTGAATCAACTTGGACGAAGCAGAAGTCAACTTAAGCTCAGGATGGCTCTCCAGGCAAGACTGTGACTAGAAGCAAACAGTCTGAAAATGAGCAGCTGTGCAGACACTGGGCTGTCACTGACTGGGAGAGAAACCTGCAAGGTTTATGGTCAGGCATGGTTCCTGAGTCAAGTCCCAGGTTCTGCACTGTCACTCACCGGGCCAAGGCAGTGGTGGTGGTGTTCCTCAGAACCTGGAGCAGCAGCTTCCTCACGAGCCTGCTCTTATCAAATGTTGATGTCTAGTCCTCCTAACAATTATGCAAACTCCTATTGTCCTTTTAATAAGAGTCATTGCAGTTTAGTTAGACAAGAGATGCTTCTGTAGCTTGTAACTAAGAGACACGTGCTGGTGACGTGGCCATCATCTTCTCTTCAGCCTCTTCCTTTCTCTTGCTGTCCTCTCAACAAGAAGCACTCTGTGCCACCACTCCATAGGCAGAAACCCTGCCTTCTCCCTTCTGGAGAAAAATCCACGTCAGGTACAGTTTGATCATGTTTCCTTTGTCTCTAAGGGCCTCTGCTCATCTGAACAATCTCATTCTCTCCCAGTAGCTGACCAGTCCTCAAGGAGAAGGGCCCGGATTTAGTTCATTTGTGTATCTCTACCTCTGGTTTACTATTAGAACAAAGGA